GTTTCCATGACCTCTCGTCTATGAGCCAAAGCCACTACCACTGCTTTTTGCGCTAACTAGGTTTGAAGAGTCGGTCAGGTGACTTCATATAAATACTGGATCACTCCAGACTTTAGAGAGAAGCTGCGTGCATGGCTCATCCCAATCGTGTATTTTGAGGAGCTACCGCAAGTTACTGGGGTATACTCTAAAACTAGACTTAGGAGGAGTAAAAACTTCGGAGAAAATGAAAATTCTTGTCTCTCCATCTGCGCCATAGTCCTGTTTTTACCAAAAAGGAAATGGTCTACGTGATTACAAACGTATCGCCACTACAACGCCCCCGTATTTTGCGATAGCGCCTAGCTTAACATATAAAAATTCACGGCGATGTGCATAGATGTGCAACTTGTGGAAGTCAAGTTCTTCCAATCAGCTGGTTTTACATGACATATTCCCTTGTGCCAAATGCGTTTTGCTATATGTAGTTATGAGTACCGAGCTATCATCCTGAAAAACCACACATTTCAGTTGGACAAAAATGGTGATTGTACGGGAATCGCGGAATATATCCCAGGTCTTACCGATATCGTGCACACCGTATGGTACGGTACGGTTTTTCGCTTCTATATCAGGTACGTTCATTTGAAACTGTCGCCACACTTTGAGCAAGAGAAGACAACTCTTGAAAGAAAGAAGTTTCCAAAATAGTGCTTCACCTATGTCTATACAACCGCTACAGCCAGCAGTTTCTTTAACAATACCAAACAAGAAACTTGCTATTTTTGAAGTTGTACATTTACGGGTGCCCAGATGTGGGCAAAATACTGTGCCACAACCGCCCACCCAAAACCACAACCTCGCCTCATTTGGGAAATTTATTTCATGAAAGAATACAAAACTATTTCATCGTATTGACACCACTGACGATGTTTATTGTAACAGCTACATTTTGCAGGAACATTATGACAGTCTTTCTGCCATTCTTCCTCCTTGCCTATTTGAACTATCGTATCGTACGAACCCTGCGGAATCAACAGCGATCAGCGCAGATGTTTCGACTGTCAAGCGATCACAAGGTACAGCCAAAAATTCGAACGCTTCTTTCACCTCTCTACTTTTCTTAATCGTCTGTGCTAGGGCCGTGAGAGACTAAGCGCGGAGAGGAGAGTATGGGCGAGAGCGC